TCAGGATCATTGCCTTGCCCATCTTCTACATATAACTGTATGGCTTGACACGAATCCTTTGATAATGTGGAATTGCCCTTTGTCAACTCATCTAACAGCATTTGATCCTCTTTCTAAATGGTTAACAATTCTGGCTTCAACTCTGGATTGACAGAGCTCCCTATTTGTATCTATTTTAGATATAGGTTTATGAATCAGCATTACATAAACACACATGTAATAAAGAAAAAGTGCATATCTCTAAAGAAAAAAAAAATTACCCTTGGCTGCCCCCTGCAGATAATTTGAAAAATCAGATAAGATTGTCATAAACTTATTCAACAAATTTAATAAAAGCTACATGTTGAGCTCCGTCCCACGCCTTCCATCTGCTTCCATCGTTTGCTTCGGTAGCTCGTCAAGTCCCTGGCAGCCAGCATGGTGCAGATCGAAAGCAAAGAGGTCTTTCAGGAAGCCCTGGCTGCTGCAGGAGATAAACTTGTAGTAGTTGATTTCTCAGTCGCGTGGTGTGGGACTTACAAAATGATCAAACCTTTCTTTCCTTCCCTGTCTGAAAAACATTCCAACGTGTTGTTCCTTGAAGTAGACGTGGATGACTGCCAGGACGTTGCTGCCGATTTCAAAGTCAAGTGTATGTCAACCTTCCAGTTTTTTAAAAAGGGAGAGAAGATGAGTGAGTTTTCTGGGGCTAATAAGGACAAGCTTGAAGTTACCATTAATGAGTCAGTCTAACTGTGTTTTCTGAAGAACGTAACTACAGCTGTTTAAAACTTTTAATTTTTTTTTAATTTACAAAAAAATAAGTATGGAAAGTATATACCCAACTGCCATCTGATTATAAATGACAATAAAATATTAATTCTACCCTTTAAAAAAAAAAGCTGCATGTTGAGAAAAGCTCTGTTTTCATCACAGAGAATGCTAACATGACCCAACTTGGTACATTTAATTTGTATCTTTTGTATATTAAACAAACTAATGACTATCTGAATGAATAGTATAGATGTTATAACCTGAAAAACTATTACTAAAAAAGATAATAATATTGAATGGGAGGGCAAGTTCATACAAACAATATTATGAAGGATTTGATGAAGAGTGGATGGATGGATGGATGGATGGATGGATGGATGGATGGATGGATGAATGGATGAATGAATGGATGCATAGATGGATGGATGGATGGATGGATGGATGGATGGATGGATGGATGGATAGATGGATCAATCGATCAATTGATCAATCGATTGACCAATGGATGTAGCAATGATAGATTCCATGCTTCATTCCAAAAAAATTTGAAAATTTTCATCATTGGGTACCCTTGGAGGTTAACTCTGAGATGGAGTTTAGTATGAGGGATATCTTTAAAAAGAAACTTCAGATTATCACTTATAGAAAGAAAGGGACAGAAATTGATATGGGCAGGGAAATAAGTAAAATTGTAATGTAGGTGTACACCAAACTCAA